TATAAATGAAAATTATATATAATATATTTTTAAATATAACTTAAAATAATGATATTATACAATGTATATATATATATATATAACAATAACAATATATAATAATAAAATATATGTGTGTATGTGTGAGAAATTCTTCACACCTCTCATTCAACATGAGTTAAAGGGATAATATGGATACATGTATAATTTTGCATCATATGATTGTTGAAGATAAAGATGACATGTTGATTAATTTGATCAATGAGAATATAGATAATTCAACACAAATATTTCAAGGTTCTACCCATTAATTCCAAGAATACCTTCAACGAAATTATGATATTCTCTCAAATGAAGTTTATCATCAACTCGGCTCCGACTTGGTTGAATATATTTGATCAAATCGAAATTACTAGTAATCTATATTACTATTTGGTATTTAGTGTTACTTCATATAAAAATTATTTTTTTTGTAATTTTATACTTTTTTCTAATTGTAGTATAAAAATTATGTTTATATTATAATTGTTTTTCAAATATGTTAATATAATATATAAATTAACAAATTAAAATTAGTATAAAAAAGTGAAAATTAATAAATTATATTTGAAATTAATTTATAATTTTATAATTGGAGTACTGAAAACGCCGGCCTGGCCATAGTGGAATTGGTCTAGTGATCGTAACGTCAAACATAATTGATTTGGGTCTATTCGACACGTCAAGATTTGGACTTATTCAATCGGCATAAACCTTACGGAATCATTTAGTGGAGACTGGAGACCGGAGATTTAGAGGGCTTTCAACAGATGAAGTCAATGTATTTTGCTTCGCTGTGTTTGGTCCATAATGTTTTCTTTTAAATGGGTTAGACCGTCTTTACTCACAATCTTTTTTAACTCAATTTCAATTAAAATATTAGTATCTCTTTCATCTACCTAAATAATCTTCAAAATCCAACCTAATCTCACTTCTTATTTTATTTAACTGTGATCCAATCCAATCTAAAATATAATTTTATAAAAATTATATACTTTTTTGTATCAAATATAATTATTATTTTTTAATTTTAAATATAAAAAATAAATTAAACAAATTATTGCATATTTTAAAACGTATTTATAACTATAAAAAACCTATTATACAATTGAAGTTAAATAAGACATGTCACAAAAGCAAGTATGAAAATATATCAATAGTGTACTCTATCTATAGAGAATTGAAAACTATGAATTTTGGTATATTTTTAAATTTTTTTTTTGTTAAAGTCACTTTTTAATTAGATAAGTTTAATTTAAATTAAAAATTAAACCAACCAATAAACAAATGCCACATGTCAATTTCATTAGTAAAAAAATGCCTCAATCTTGGATTGTTGAGGGAGAAGGATTGGTAGAGATTAGTTTGCCTATTTTTATTTTTTATTTAAAAAAAAAACTCTTTTGTCCCATTCACAATATGGTTGGTTAGATTATGACCGGAGATGGTCTTATCTTTGCAATTTTCAAATTACTTAACAGCAGCCACAGATTTTACACATTCGGGGCAGTATCTTCAACATATTGAGTTATTTAAGTATATGATCTTAAATGAATTTTTAAATTAATTAATGATCTCTTGACCTATTAAACAAAAATTAACTTTATACTAAAGTAATGGATTTGATTAAAATCTTTTTAAGGTTATATACCTGAAAATCCTTCAAGTGGTATGTAATTCCAAAATAGAAAGTTAAAAATCAAAATCTTTAAAAAAAATATATTCAACTACAACAAATTTTTTATATTTAATATTCGAATATTAATTATATTATTTAAAATATTTAATATATTTAATAAAATGTTATTTCTCCATCATAGATATTTAATTTTAAATACTATCATCATTGTGAATAATAAAATATAATTTCTCAATGGTCTATGGTTTATATATGTATATATATACACATATATCTATATCTATATTTATATAGGGACTGGTTCAAATGTTAACCAAGATTATTGTATTAACTTTGTTAACTAATCTTGACCATTGATTCTTACAATAAACGGTTGTGATTAATCATGATAAAAAATTAATTTTTTAGATTTACAATTTCAAAGAACATATGTGAACAAAGGGGAAAAATGTATTTAGGTAATCTTTTTTATGTAACTCCCATATCATTAATTGGGAGTTAGAAAATCAATTTTTTTTTGTTAATGTAAGAACCATATGAACACATTTATATATATATATATATATATATATATATATATAYRAACCATTGTGTCAAATACGAACAAAAATTGACATATATATGAACTTGGGCTGTATAGCATTTACGAACACAATATGAACATAATAATAATAGCTGCTACACGAAAGAAAATAAATTAAAAAGCAGGTATGAACACAATATGTACAGCTTGTGAACAATAGTTCTTTCATTATGAACACATTCAGGAGCGAACCAATGTTGAGATATGCAGCTAGTGTACATATGAACACAATATGAACACTTATGAACAATAGTTCCTTCATTATGAACACATTCAGGAGCGAGCCAATGTTGAGAYATGCAGATAGTGTATATATGAACACAATATGAACAACTTGTGAACAATAGTTCATTCATTATGAACACATATTAAGGAGCGAGTCAATGTTGAGATATGCATCTAGTGTACATATGAACACAATATGAACACTCGTGAACAATAGTTCCTTTATTATGAACAATGAGTTTAACCATAATAGCTTGAACGATACCGAAAACTTTACTAACGAGTCTCTTCTACCAATCACAAATTCAAAAAGATTATAGATAGAAAAATCAATATTATAAAAAAACAAGATCAATAATAAATTAACAAAAATTATAAATTCAATATTAGATGCTTTGATCGAAAATTTTAATTTTTTTTAATTTTTTTAAAAGATATAGTTTTTGGAAGAAAAATAAAAAAATATTTTTCTAAAAACTTTTCGAACGGATTTCCGATGAATTTAACTTTTTATTTAAAAATTTAAAATCCATCGAAAAGTCCTTGGAAATTTTTTATTTCTTTTTTCTTTTCATTAAAAATATTTTTTTTGGAAGAAGAAAATTTAAGAAAAGATTTTTCTAAAACTTTTCTGACAGATTTTTAGTCGAATTTAATTTTTTAAACAAAAAATTAGAATTCCTCGTAAATCCGTCAAAAATTTTAAAAATATTTTTTTTGTTTTCTTTTAAAAATACTTTACAGAAGAAAATAAATTAACAAAAACATTTTTAAAAATAATTTTCAACGAATTTAAATTAAATAATTAATCAATCAAAATCTGTTGAAAAATCCGTCGAAAATATAATTTAAATATTTTCTTTTAAAAGATTAGAAGAATTTTGTGACAAATTTCAAACAGTTTTGGATGGTTTTTTACAAGTGAAAAATCCGTTGGAGAAGTTATCGAAATAATTTTTTTTTTTAAATTCAGTGACGGATTTGTAGTAGAGGTCAACAAAATTTGATATCTTTTAACTTTTTTGGGATCCTTTGGAAATTCGTGGGTTATTTTCTGACATAAATTCCGCTAGAAAAATCTGTCGGTGACACCCAGTTTTCTAATAGTGTTATATTGTTAATTTAAACTTCATTATTATTTTTAAGTAGAAATAAAAGAAAATTGTAAAGAGATATGAATTCCCTTGATTTAACGGAGTAACCGTCAGTAAAGTTATGACAAAGAACACAATGCGTAATAAATTAAATAGAAACGACGGTAACTGTAGATGTAATTATTTCATTTGGAGGACCCAATCCATAATTCCTATATAACCACAGGGATGAAATGTGCAATTATATTGTTAATTTAAACTATGTTATAATTTTTTTATAATAGAGTATGAAAAGTCAAAATCTCTAAAAAAAATACATCTAACTCTAACAGCTACTTTATTTTAACAATTGTAGCATTAACTATATTAATAAAATATTATTTCCTCTTACACATTTAACTTCAATAAGTTTAATTGGTTAAATATGATTAAAATATTATTTCTCTCTCTTCTATAGAGTTTATGTGATTTCTCTCTTCTTTTATCTCTACTCTATTTTAGAGATTTTTACAATCTCTCTATTTTAGCATTGAGGATGGCATAGTTAATAGAGCAACAAAAATGCTAAAATCTCATTTCTCTCCATTTTAGTATAGTTATAGGAGATGTTCTAATACAAAAGATAGAACGATTGTGGCTTTTGGTTCCTGTGCTGGGAGGCTGGCAACGTCAGGCATAAAATAATTGTCGTCCATGTTGGAATATTTTACCACTCCCGATCCATAATTGCATTACAGTACCATACAAGTGGCTTAGATGCCTATTTTATTTATTTTGTAACCGTTTTGCACCTATGTGAACCACTCTATGAGATTCAATGATGGTGGGTTTGATTAGTTGTCTTGTCCCCAAAGATTGCCCACTTGACAACATTAAAACGACTTCAGCCATGGTTGGTCTCAAGGAAGCTGGTGACTGGGTGCACATTAGAGCAATCTCTATGATCTTCATCACATTTGCTTCCTGGTATTCTTCTTTACCTAGTACTTCATCAATCAACTCTATGTGCATGCCTTTCTCGTATAGCTGCCATGCCTATTAACCACAAAATACGTTTACAATAATAAATTCTGTAAGATTTAAATTTGTTTATGAAGGTCTCACGAATGATCTTGAAATTCAAATATCTCTATGTATTCATTTCTACTCTCTCATAAAAGAAGAAAAAGTTAAGGAGGTTGTATATTACATGTTCAATGAGGTGAGCTGTGTCAGGTCCACTAAAGTTTTCGTCAGTACACCTTCGACCACTAATGATTTCAAGGGCCATGATACCAAAGCTGTAGGTGTCAACCTTCTCTGATAAATGTCCATGGGTTGCATATTCTGGTGCCATGTATCCTCTATATTGACCTCGTCGTGAAACAAACATATATATTGTCAAGTGAATAGTAACGTATTTGAATTTGGTTAATAAATATCAAAGGGAATAGATATTGTAACTTACAGGGTCCCAGCAAGCTTTGTGCTGACATGGGTTTGATTCTCAGCTTGAAATCTAGCCAACCCAAAGTCCGCGATTTTGGGTTGAAAATCATCGTCAAGGAGAATGTTACTTGACTTGATATCTCTATGAATTATTTTGACATGGAACTCATTATGAAGATGGGAAAGACCCCTAGAGACCCCAAAGATAATGTCAAACCGTTTTTCCCAATTCAGAGTGCCCCTTTTTTCACCTGTCCATGATGAGCCGATAAGCACACTCCTTTTGCGAATATTTTCAGTCGGGTAGCTATAAGTAATATTTTTGCAAGACTACCCTACCCCATAAGAATTTGTCAAGGCTGCCTCGTGGCATGTATTCTAGGACAAGAAGTAGCTCAGGTCCTTCGCTACACCAACCTAGTTGTCGAACAAGATTCCGATGTTGAAGATTACTTAAAAGCTTCACTTCATTGTCAAATTCTAATTTTGCTTTGCCATAGCCAACATGAAGTCTCTTCACCGCCACTGCATTCTCATCATCTATAATTGCCTGTTGAATGGTGAAGAGACTATTAACCCCAACGCTAAAGTCCTAAAGCAATTGCGTTGAGTACAAAAAAAGCACATATTCATCCCTTCATTTTAAAAGGGAAAAAGAGAACCCTATACATCATCAGAATTAATATAACATTGTTGTGCAATCGATCCCTTACCAATAAATAATTCAAAACTTTTGCAAATGCCACACTTTCTTTTAATAAAGTTCATTGTTGTGCTAAATATTGAATTATGTTCTCAAAGATATGTAGAATCCAGAGAGATATGTAGACAATCATATCTAAAAAGTTCATACCTTGAATACTTCACCAAAGCCTCCTTTCCCTACTATATACTCCTCATCAAAATTATGAGTTGCTAATCGCAAATCTTGGTAACTGTAACTTTTTCCCCCTGGTAGTCCAGATTCATCTGGAAGTATCATATGGTGAAACATACAAGCAATTAGTAGTTGTAATCTGAGAAACATATGTTCAAGTAGAACCTGTTATAACTATAAAGATATTATGTGAATAGAAAATATTAAGAAATATACCATAGACAAACCTGTCTAGGTCCACCAACTGACCTATGTGTTCTAAGACGGGAATCCCAATTGATTGGGTACTATCCGTACTAAAAATATCATGAATATGTAGAATTGTACTTGAGGTATATCCCCCTCACAAGGCCCTTATAGGTGTAAATGATAGATCTCATGTGCTTTGCGTAAGGTGATATATTTTCATGAACATTATTCAACTTCCTAAGGTGCTCATCTGTGTGTATATATATAGTACCTTCTCCAACAGTCTTAGACTTCTTCCTTCGTCGATACCATAGCCACAAAGCAAGTATAAGCAAGAAAATACCAACACCACTACTTCCTCCAGCTATCATAGCAGACTTGGTTGAACTTCCTATAGAAGAGATGGTTACACATTTCTCTTAATATATATAGTAGAACAAGTTCATAATTGCAACTGAAAAACTCAGATAAAATATTGTAGTATAAGAGTTCTACCTTCACTTAGAAAAGGAACGATGTTTGTCGTTTGGTTATTTAGAAAAAACGGAGTCACAGAATACTTCATAAAACACAAAAAGTCAATGGCTCTTCCTTCCGTATTGGGTAGACAACCACGTAAATTGTCATATGCTGTTGTCAAGCAGTTCTGGCAAATGGCTTGGGATGAGTTTTGAACACATTGTGCAATCGCATACACTGTTGCATTGTTAGCCGAGACTTGCCTTATAGATGCTACATAGAAATTAGATGTTCTTATAGTAGCGACCCGAATATCGGATAACAATTCTTCTACCACTTGGTTGAAAGAGGTTACTGGCTGAGACGCTGACTGTATGCCACATACTCCACTTGGAATGGCATCATTATCTAATATAACTTCTGTATTATCGAAGATTTGGCCATAATTTTCGTACCTATACACGAAAGACGTACACCTTAGTATGAATGCAACATCTTTCTCCAAATTCTCTTGCTAAGATTGTTTGGATACATCATGTTCAAACTTAATTAATAACTTGACAGCGATAATTTTCTTAACATTGATGCATTGTATATCATTGGATTCTGAAGATGCATATCCGCCCCTTGGTGTTAACAAATATGGCAATAGATAGATGGAGACAAATAGTAGAAGTTTCTCTATTTGTTTGGAAAAGACCATGACAGTAAGAAACAAAAAAATGTTCGCTTCATTTATGAGAACTATCAAAGGCAATACAATCTAATGAACACAAAGTCTTAAATTGTTTAGATTTTGTTAATGACAAAACTTTACATGGATCATTAAGGCTTAGTTTTGAGGTTCTTATGGTAATGCTCTTTTCAGTACTCTCAATGCGTGTTGGTTTCATGAGTATCCTTTAAGAACTTAGGCACGTAAATTCATATAGGTTGTGCCACAATCTAGGTGATTTCATATTCCATATGATTTTTCAAGGTATGGTGTTATTAAAAGGAACCTGAAGTCGAATTTTTTAGATCGTCATGTCAATTCAACTCATCATAGGAAAAGGAATGACACATTCTACCCTTTACTACACCATATTTCGAGCAAGAGTTACATCATCTTCTCTTTTAACCTACTTCTTAGATCATGTGTCACATAAATACATAACGCCCATAATGGAAATATAGATTAACTTATAGGCCATAATTTTATTCCACTCTAAGTACATGTTACATATCCTTAGAAAGTTGATCTGTGATGGTATCTTTTGACTTCACATTGAAAAGAGAGTAAAACTTTTTTATGGTAATACGTCGTATATGTATTCAAGGTGTTTGGTCCTAATTGTGTCGTCAACTAACAAATCCAAATTGGATCATGCTATTAACTGATTCACATAAATGTTTACTTGAGATATTACAATCACAATCAATGGAGAACGAATTCTAGAGTTTCTAATATGCTTGGAAGAATCCTCTAAGAAAATGGGTGAAAATACTTGAAAATGAGCCCAAAAATTATCCTAAATCACTTCTAGTGTGGGTCTCGCTTTTAATACGGTTTCATTTTAATCCACGTGACTTAAATCATGGGTAAGTCATGCCATATGTCTTGCATAAAAAAACAGAGGGAGACATGATTCTTCATGCTACTAGAGATCGGGTTGCATATTCACTATTCTTCAGGCCGATTTTGTCTAGTTTGGAGGGCCATCTAAATATTGGCTAAATCATTTAGATACCTTACTGACCTTATCCAATATCTTCAAAGTTAGATTTTAAAATGGATTTGGTTGTACATATTTGTTCTGCGTACTTCTATGTTGGTCTACACATAAACCCAACAGGCCAACTATCCAAACAAGCCCGAAAAATAGGTCAAATAATCCAACATGAACTAGCACGAAGCCTCAGTCGTGCCTAAGTCCTACACATCGAGATAGTGGATTAAAAATGGGTCAAAGTAGAATCAATGCAATTCAACCAAATGAAGTCGACTCGGCAAACTGGTCATCTCTCCGTCTCTCCTTTCAGGCTTCATGCCTTCACAACTTCACTAGCTCACTTCTTCGAAAACTCTAGGTAATTATATATATCTCACATAATGTAGTCCTATTGTCTTTTAGCTTAGCATTTAAAAAATCCAATAATGAAAGTTGAGTGGTTAGGGATCATTTTTTTTTATTAATCATGGGTGTTCAGGACATGTATGCATATGTGAACCCATATTGGCTTACCTACCAATAAGTCTTTGAAGATGCATACACATGAACGAAAGAAAATCATTACCAATAATTCTTTTGAAGATGCACACATGAACGGAAAAAATCATTCGCCAATAATTCACATATGAATCATTCCTCCTCACATTCCCAACATTTTTATCACTCATTTGAACTTTTACACACACAAACACACATTTATAGCCATATTCATATGAGAACAATAAATATTATGATAATCGTGAGAACCATTCTAGTCCAATCATTTATTAAACTCAATGACAAATAAACAATTATTGTGGTGGTTCATCAAAAATCAGCTATTTAAAGATATTAGCACAACTTCCTAATTTATCTTATGTTTGGAAATTCCATATAATCCTTAAACAAACATCCTATTTGTTCCTTCACCGATTTTCATAACCAGGAAAGAGAAAAGCTCACATTCAGCCATCGACCTTTGCCATAGAACCCAAAGTAGTGACTATGATCACACTAATTTTCAGAAAGGTAGGTCTAGTTTTAGTCTTGATGAGTGACTTGACGTTCACAATGGTAGGTCAAATTTTAGTTTTGATGGGTGATTTGATGTTCACAACAATAGGTGTAGTTTTAGTTCTCATGGGCTACTTGGTATTCATAGTGGGTTCACAAGATTCAAAAGGCTCTATTTAAGTTTTGATGGTAGGGTTCACAGTTTGTTCACAAGGTGTTCACACCGATTTTATGGCCGATGGATGATCCCAAGAGTCCAATGAATGAGAATATTCACCTTGTGTTTATAATTCACCATATGTCTTTTATGTGTTTTCTTTGTTGTGTGTATGTTATGTTGATAATGAGAGAGGAAAGAGAGAAGAGACCTTAGAGGAGAGAGGAGAGGGGAAAGAGGCAAGAGAAAGTAAATTAGAGAAGAGAGGAGAGAATTATAAAATCTCCAAATAGTCGTTATCTAAATCATCTTTTTATTCAAATATTGTTGGTTCTAATTGTATAAAATTGCAAAAAAGAAAAAAAGAAATCCTTCTTTATTAATAGTCCTAGATTTATATTGATTAGTGATTTAAACCGGTCCTTATAGGTATCACAAAATGTAGAGTTCTCAAATGAGGTACATATATATAGTCTCCTTGTACAAACTCAATAATTCGTAAACCTAACAAACCAATTTTTATGTGTTGTGAAAATATAATATATATACATTATTGTTTCATATGTGAAACGTTCATGACTATATAAACACTGCATGTTGATATGTATTATTTCATATGTAAAACAACACATGAAAAATGGTTTATAAGTTTGTATGATTGATTTGGTTTTTAATATATATATATATATATATATATATATATATAAAGTTGGGTTCCGATGAGAAAGAAAGTTATAGTGAGAAACATACAAAGAGATCTCCACCACTGAATTAATCCTTAATTGAATGTTAACACTACTGGCAGTGCACCAGATCAATTCTCTTTTGAAATGCAATTCATGGATGGACGTGCGATTAAAAGTGATCAAGGGTTCAGATCTTTTTTTTACGTTTCTCACCATAACTTCTCTTTTCACACGGTGAATTAATCTAGTACAAGAAGTCAAGAATTCTGTACTAACCTGATACTGCAATCATCATAAATAATGTTACCACCGTCAGCGATTCTACATACTTTTGTCTCGTTAACTGCCAAGTCAAAACAAGCCAGGCACTGCGAGGTAGAGAGATACTCCCTACACATAGCAAAGTTGTACACATATTCATCGTTATCTGTAGCCTGTGCAAAAGCGTAGTAGACCTGTGGATTGGATAACTGTCTTCGGAGGCTAGAAAGGGTGGCGTTGAGGTTGTTTAAGTAAAACTCTCCATTCTTTACGTCATATGATCTACAATACCTTCTAAGTAGAGTGTTACCTCTATCATTTGACTGTGAATTCACCTGCTCAACCATCGTTATGAACACCATGACGACCATGCCAGTTATCCACCATGACAGCCGAAGGCTTGCGATGGGGCTCAGATCATTTTCTCCCATTGCTAAAAATTGAAAACTTGCTTGGAAGATTATTTATAAAGGAAGACAAATAGATATAAATCCTCTACTAAGGCATCAAAAGTCTTCAAGTCAAATATTTTAAAAGATGCTAAGCCAAACAAAAACGGCTAAAGTCAAAACTCGAGAGGAAAGAATCCTATCGGGGGTCGTCGTCATTAAAGTTTTCTACCTTTTCTAATGTGTGGTATGTATTTATTCCAACTACTACAATATGTATTAAGTATTTTTGTTTTGTATGGAGCAAACAAAATTTAAATTTCTCCAAAAAAAATCATGATTTAAAAAAAAACAACCCATAATGGAGATTTTTTATGAGTAGCTTTGGTCATTGAACTGTCAAGCAGTGGTGGATTATTTAGGAATCTGAGGCTGGGCATATGCATTACCATTAGGTACGATATCTGTATTAAAATGGGCTTCTTTTAGAGTGAAGAAATGTGTAGTACATTGGTAGACTTTGTTGCAAAATTAGTACATTTGAGGCTTTAGATCAAATGGGTTTGACAATTAATTTTGACGAGGGTATGCCACTTTTTTGTTCACTTGCTTTCTTTCTGGATAAAGAAAATCTCAGAAATTGTTCTTGTAGTACATACAGTTCACTATGCCCAGGGGCGGATCCCTATAGGGGCCTTTGGGGGCCATGGCCCCCCCGTTTTTATACATAAATACTATAACTAAGGTATTAAAAACATATATATTAAGTAGCTTAGTTGGCAATGTTGCTCAACCTTCATACTTGAGGTTGCTGTTTCAAATCCCATCCCAATCAATTTTTTTGAACTTTATATAATATATAAATTATTAATATTTAATTATATATATTAGTTTTTATACAATATATTAATTATATGTAAATATAAGTTTTTAAAGTAAATTACACCGGTATTACTATTTCTCGGTTAATACTTTGAATATTTAAGTTTTTAGAGTAAATAATATAATATATTAATTATATGTAAATATAAGTTTTTAAAGTAAATTACACCGGTATTACTATTTCTCGGTTAATACTTTGAATATTTAAGTTTTTAGAGTAAATAATATAATATATTAATTATATGTAAATAATGTTTAAATTGGTATTTACTATTTTTCTCTTAATACTTTGAATGTTTCGAGTTTTAATATTACATTAATCAATCTTTTTCTAAAATTTAATAGTCTAAAAATAAATCATTTAGATTTACAAATTTTTACAATAATATAGCATCTTCAACATATTCTTCAAAAAATTTCCAAAATGGATGATTAAAACTCTATTAAAACCATACTCGAGCTCCCCGCCCCAGCCAATCTCCCATTGGCAGGAAAGTCGTTTCGATCCAATCCATTCTTGGGATCAAATAAAGACAAAAAATTATATGTTTTCTCTCATTGTAATCAATTTTTGTTTACACTCTCTTATGTTTTCTCCGTTTTGGAGAATTTTGGAGAGTCTGTTGTAGCAAAAATATGCCTAAAATCTCCATTTTCTCAATTTTGAAAAATCTATTGAAGATGCTCTTATATTTCGGCCCCCCGGACTACAACGGTTGTGTTCCGCCCCTGACTATGCCCCCTGTCTCAACTCATTAGACACGTGAATTTCCACTACCGTGTCATGTTGTCACCAACACACCATTATGCACTAAAGGGTGAGGAGGGTCTGCGAGTTTATTTGTTGCAATTGCCGTATATAAATATTATATACTTCAAAAAAAAATACACCATTACGCCATCATATTTGAACTCTTCCACGGTAGCAGTGTAGATTAAATTGCTTCCTAAAACAAATTCAAGGGCCAGGATTTTTATAGTATAAGCAATCTTATCAAGAAAATTTCATGGATACACATTACAATAACATTTTTTACACTATATAACTCTATAGTTTCATGATAAACGTTACAAGAATAATTTTGATCCAAAAGTTTAACTCTTCAATCCCATGGAAACATATCGGACTAGTTTACAAAGATCTAAAATATTATATATCTTATGTTCATTTAGCCATCTCTGCATATGTTGTTTTAATGTTTAATCTTAATTCGTATTTCCTACCCCATATTGAGACTCTCTTCAATAGCGTCCAATGTCCATATAATATTTCCATGGAAATTGTGTTTGTTGTGAATTAAAATGATATGATAGATAGTCATGGGGATTCAACCAGTTGGCCGAACGATTAGCCATTTTCCATGTTAGAATCCCACATTGGTTAGATATCTATCATACAATAGGTATATATATGTAAAAACCTCTACTTTCTTTCAAGACTGTGGAGCATTTTGGAGGCCCTGTTCAAAAAATTAAATGTGGCCGTATAATTTAAATAAAAATAATTATTATAGACAAAAATTTAAATAAAAATAGTTATAGACAAAAATTTAAATAAAAATAATTCCGACTTTTACGTTCTAAATTAATAGTTATATATAGACAAAAATTTAAATAGAAATTATCAGTAAACTTATTTTTTTTCTTCTTCTAAATTTTATAAAATTATTATTTAATAAATGAAATTTGTAATGAAAACATAAAAATGAGATGCTTACAAGTTTTATGAAGAAAAAACATTTAAAAATGATGCAGTAGAAGTGAACCGAACCTTCGAAAACCACTTCACAAATTCACGAGCTTACCAAGCTAAATGAACGAGAAGTGAAAAATAATGAATTTACATATCCTAACTATGTATATATAAATAGCGGATAAGAGTTAAATCCATTATCCAATCTATTTAAAATAGCGGGTAATGAAACGAGTAATTATCCATGTCTTAAAACTCTTGTCCAATCCATTAATTTAAAATAGCAGATAACAAAACTGGTAATGAATAAATGGTAAAAAAATCATTTTGAACTACAATAATATTGTTAAACATCAACATGAGTAAAATATAAGTTCATAAATATAATCTTTATTTTATATCTAATTTGTTCCAATAAACATTGTGATATTGTTTTAAATATGTTATAATGTGATATTTTACACAACAATATAAAAATCTAAAGGCAACGTTTATGTTTTTTATATTTCTTTTAGCGACCTCATATTGCTTCTTATGTGATTGTCCTAATTATCTCTTCTAGTTGATGAATATGAAAAAAAAAATTAAATACCAATTAATATACGTTTATACTTATACAACATATAAGATAACATTCTAAAAAATATATTAATATTTAACTTTGATTAAAACGTGGAACATGCATTTTTCAAAAAAAAATGTTGAACTTCTTATTAAGCATGATGAATGTATCATATGATTCTCATTTTAATTTATTATTTATCAGCTAAAACTTATGAAATATAATATTTTCATCAAGTATAATTTAAAATTAAAATATTAAATCAGTTTGTGAATAGTAATAAGTCGGATTTGACTTGTACAAATTACAATTGATTGAGGTTTAAGTGGATATTAAGAAATACAAAACAGTAAAGACTTTTTGGTTCGGTTAGGTAATGCAATGATGAAGAATGAACTTTTCGTTCCTCCATATTAACCTGGAACGAAAACTTGGGGTTGAGAGGAAATGAGTTCATTATATTATATAACACCAAACGTTTTCTTTTAGTTTTATTATAATTGATTATTGTTTAATAGTTATAACCAAACAGAAAATACTTTGATTAAAACCTAGATTTTACATTCGGTTTGATTATGTCACCTTTATCCTGTTATACATCTCTCCTTGATATGTTATCCTTGTCCCAAATTCATCTCTCCTTGATATGCCACCGTTATAACCAAAATACATCTCTCCTTGATATGTCATCGTTATAACCAAAATACATGTCCCCTTAATATGTCATCCTTATTCAAACATATGATATAATCATATCAAAATACCAATTTATGCTAATTATAGCATCAAAACAGTTTATAATCATCCTCATGTAAATAATCATACGGTTCTAATTTCAACACCAAATAAGATGAAAGTTATAAATAAACTCACATTATAATTCACGTAGATGAAGATATGAAGATGAATAGCAAAAAAAAAAAAATTAGTTAAGAATCATAGAATTGATCTTTTCTAGCTCCCTTCTTTGGTTTCTGTTTATTCGAGCTCCAAAAAAACACAGACGCACAGAAGCTTCTCACCAACTTTTATCAAACCCTCATGAGATAATTTAGAATATCCTTAAAATATCTCATCATATAACCATTTTAAACAAATATGGCGTGGGATTTAAAAAGAATTAAGCACAAATACAAATTTAATCCCTCAACTTATCACCACCTTACGAAAACAACCCCAAGCTTTTTAACTGATTAACCGGTTATCACACCATTGAAAAGAGTCATTGTGATAAGGAAGAAAGACGTGAAACGGAAGCAAAATTTGGATTTAAAATTCAAAGTACAAAGATAAACATGACATGTTAGTTAAAATTAGAGAAATGAATTATGTTGCAAAAAATAACAGAGATGTAACCTAATTAATCAATTATTGTTTTACCTTTTAATTAATAATCAAGGTATAGCTTTAATTATTGTTGGATTAAATTTATTTGTAGCTAATATTCGTTCAGAAAGATTTCACAAAACTTGCAGTTCTCAAATGATTAAAAACCTATACTACCACCACCAGTATTATTTAACCTTTAAAATTAGAGCTCCTTAACGTCTCCATTTTTTACTTTTAAAATTATAGCTCCATCGTCTCTAACAGCGGCACTTTCCTATCTCCCATTCAAATTATTCAACCGTCAAATCATCTGTCAAACTCTGATCCCCCCCCTCCCCTACCGTACATAGTTTGATTTGTAGCCCTCCGGCAACTTCCATTTTCATCTTCATTTTTCGTCATCGATCTAAACATATTTCAAACTTCAAGTCCCTACATTGTGTTTGAAAGTACCAAGTCAAACAATGTTTTCTCTTTATTTCTTGTCAAAGGTAAAAATACCCTAAAAACTTGTTGGATATGAACATTTTGATTTTGGGTG